TCCAGCATCTTCCGGCAACAGTAGATTGTCCGACATCTTTTGCCACAATTGCAGTTGAGAAACGGCCGGCAGGTAGCAATAGTTGTCACCTTCAGGTGAATCGCACATCCGGCAGTATCCGGATGTGTGATAAGGTTTTAATTTTTTTTTTTTAGAATACATGCAATTGATTTGTTCCGACTTTACAAATTCCTAATAGAAATCTAAATTGGAAACACTAAATGTGTTTTATCTAACCGATCAATTAATTTAGGTGAAAATATACATAGGTGAGATGAATTTTTGCAATGAACTTCCACCATCCACCGATCAATTACATTGACGTTCGAGCACCGTCCACTGCCAACGCCCACTATCGATCGTCAACAGGCTAGTGTCCATCTTCATTCAGCTCAGCAGAGCGTCCCAAGTATTATAAAATATATTGTAATGTATTCCTTTACTACATTTCCTCAATCGTTATATCCTACACCACGGCGCACATAGCACTGTGCGCCGCGCGCCTCCCAAAACGACGTCGTTTTGGGGTAGTGTTGGGAGGCGCGGTAGGAAGTTGTTGAGATTATGTGTATTTGTTCACAACGTTATGTGTATTTGTTCACAACGTTATGTGTATTGGTTCATACAGTTATGTGTATTTTTTATACAATTATGTACATTCTTTTTATACAATTATGTATATCCGAATCAGAAAATTTATGTGTATTATGTTAAGAGTTGATGTGTATTATGTTAAAAGTTTATGTTTATTATGTATTATGTTAGATTATGTGTATTATCTTTTAAAAAGAGTATGTATATTTTGTTATATAATTATGTACATTCATGTATAACATTATGTGTATTCTAGTATAACATTATGTACATTCTTGAACAGCGGGTTTTTTTTAAAGAAAAAACTACTGCCATTCACTGGGGCGGGAAATTTCAAAAAAATAATAATAATTAAAACGACGTCGTTTTGCATCTGAGCGCATAGTGCAACGCGCGCCGTGGTGTAGGATATAAATTGCCCTTGTATACATCTATATATATATATATATATATATATATATATATATATATATATATATATATATATATATAGTAGTAATAAAAAATACAAATATGGTAGATTAATACTGATTTGGTTTTATATATATACAGATATAGATATAGATATATAAATTAATTATTTAAGAAGTTACTTTGGTATAATTGATTTATTCAGTGTATATCATACACTGTATTTTGTGAGATAAAACACACAGTAGATTTTTTGGTTGGTGCTGACAATTAAGTAATTCAATAAAAAAAGACTTTGGTTGGCGCTTGGAGAAGATGTGTATTGAAGTTCATATAGTGGCAGACATCATATTCAATGTTCATAATTTATAATTAGTTTTACCCTTCTTTTCAATTTATGTGTTTTATAATGTATATTTACTGTCTTGTCTTATATATAGGGTTTATCTTGGTTGCAAAGCGCTAAATATTTAAAAGATTTGAAAGCTGCAACAAATGAGTTCAGCGAAGAGAATATACTGCGTAAAGGAGGTTTTGGTGATGTATATAAGGTGAGACACAATTCATGAGGGCATGCAGAATGAAATTTCAAAATATATATAAAGAATGCCTCCACTCTAATATTGTATGACTAAACTGTAGGGGACACTACATAGCGGGGATGTGGTGCCACTAAAGAAACTAAAATAACAGTTGGTTTGGATTATGAAGGAATGCTAGAAGACATAAAGGTTGTTATTGCCCTCAAATCTGTTTCATATTAACTGCCAAAAGGCAAAACTGAAATTGCACTAAGTGTTTATTTCGTACTTCTTAATATTTCGGTATGAGAATGGTCAGTTTTCCCCGGTTGGGTGGTTCACTGGTAGATAGTCACCCAAATTGAATCTAAAAATATTTTGGAATAATACCGTTTCCACCTTTTCTCTCCCATTGTACTGTGCATGTGATTTCCTGCAGTAATTATTCATGCCATTTACGCATAAAAAGTGTTTGATTCATTCTGAAATAGGAAATGCATTGTATAATGCTAAATATTGCTCAGTATATTTGATACGACATTGCCACTGCCAGACCACTCTAGAAAAGAGGTCGTGCATGCAAAACCAGATCGTGGAGGAATTGGTATTAACAGGCCGAGAAGAACGCACCAATTACCGAGTCGCTACGCATGTTTTAGGATGGACTAAGCACCACTAGTGATCCTAAAAATAAGCTTAGTTTGTTATTTTCTTTTCTTATTTAAAGCTTTGTAATATACAGTACTGGGCAGACAAGAATTATAATACTCTTCCTTCTTCTTTAATCTTCTTGGAACTTTTGTGTGACACCCCGGAAATTCAACCCTTAAACCTTAATTAATTATTTAATTAATTTCCTATTAACCCCTATAATCCTTTTTATAAGTTAGCCTTGAATTTAGTTAGGGGCACTACAAGAAAAATGCACATAGACAACAGTTTTTAAGAAAAGTGTTGTCTTTTGTATAAAAGACAACAGTTTGGTCCAAAACCGTTGTCTTTGATGCAACACTTTTGTCAAAGACAACGGTTTTTACTTAACCGTTGTTATAAGTGTGTTGTCTTTGTGCATTTTGTGAAAAGACAACACCACAACGACAACGGTTTTTTAAAACCGTTGTCTATGTGCGTTTTTTTTTTTTAAAAAGACAACGGTTTTTTTAACCGTTGTCGTTGGTGTTGTCTTTAAGCGCACTAGAATACACAACACTAGAAAGACAACGGTTGTTTAAAACTGTTGTCTTTGTGCGCTCTTTTTTTTTTTTTTTTAAAAAGATAACGGTTTTATTTAACCGTTGTCGTTGGTGTGTTGTCTTTAAGCGCACTAGAATACACAACACTACAAAGACAACGGTTTTTTAAAACCGTTGTCTTTGCGCATTATTATTTTATAAAAGACAACGGTTTTATTTAACCGTTGTCATTTATGTGTTGTCTTTAATAGCACTTGAATACACAACACTACAACGACAACGGTTTTATATAACCGTTGTCGTTGCGCGTTCTTTATTTGTTTAAGACAACGGTTTTATTTAACCATTGTCTTTGGTATGTTGTCTTTAAGCGTATTTGAATACACAACACTACAAAGACAACAGTTATAAAAAACCGTTGTCTTTGCGCATCATTATTTTATAAAAGACAACAGTTGTATAAAATATAAACAAAGATGTTAACAACAAGAGTTGAACCTTTTGACCTCAAACATAGCAATTAAAGTTTAACCAACTAAGCAACACAAACCCTTATTTACTAAAGTGCAACATCTGGTATATAACTGGATTGCTTTTATGTTGTCTGTGAAAACGAAGACAACGATTTTATAAAATAAGTTAAGGATGCCTCTAAGAAGAATAAAACTTGAGACTTCTAACATAACAAACTAAACTAAATCCACCAAGCCACACCAACACTTAATTTAATAGTTCTATTTTCGTTCATATTTAAATATAAAATTATTCACCAAAATTTCAATGTCAATTCATTAAAGTTTTATTTTCAATTCATTAAATTACATGCCATAAAACGGCCCTGTGCGGTGTGGTGTTCAGAATGGTGCGGTATGGTGTGGAGGGGTTAAGGGCGGTATGTTTGAACTCTATATTACAATTACAGAACTCTATGTTAAAATTATGAATTTACTGTATTTAAATTATGGGCCTACCAGGACTATGTGGTCTAATGGTATCCGGGTTGGACTTCCATTTGGAAGATTGTAAGTTCGAGCCTCAGTGGAGGCGTTATTAGCTCTTTGTGTTTCAGTAGGTTGAGAAAGTATATGAACAGATACTACAATGTAATAGAGCTAGTACCATTCAAAAAAAAAAAAAATTATGGGCCTAGTGCCCCAAGTAATAAAGCTATTATTTTCTTACCCCCCGTTCTGTACCTATATACTCGGGTTATGATGGACCCAGTCCAAATATAGGTGACAGTTCACTTTTAATTTTTTTTTTATCAAAACATTCATTTTTTTGTCGTAATATTATTGTGACATGACAAATTTTTGTCCTTTATAGAAAATAATTGTTAAAATTTCGTTAAATATAGGACATTTCACTCTTCAGTTATGATTTTTTCATAAAAATAAACATAAAAAATATAACTGGTCAACACACTTTGTATTAAAAATATCAAAATACCATTCAATTTAATTTAATTTCAACGATTTTATTGATAGAGGACCAAAATTGATCATGTCGAAACAATACTAGGACCAAAATTGAATATTTTGATAAAAAAGGATTAGAAATAGACTGTTACTCTCACTATTGATATATATTTTTTGAATGCTACTAGCTCTATTACATTGTAGTATCTGTTCATATACTTTCTCAACCTACTGAAACACAAAGAGTTAATAATGCCTGGAAGTCCAACCCGGGTACCATTAGACCACATAGTCCTGGTCTCACTATTGATATATAATTTAACTAAAATCTAATTCCCACCAAAACTTTGTTTTTAGGCGCCTTCTCTCAAACTTTTCGTTCGTGAACCCTAAAATCATAATTGCAGTGTCAGCCGACTAGTCGCGCAACCATCTCTTGCTCCTTTGTCTCGCTCTATCTCTTAACCTCTCGAAGGACTTCATAGATAGGAGACGCAGCCCGCCTCGTCGTGCCTCGCGCTCACTGATTTCCCATTTACGCTTCTTGTTTTTTTCTACAGTGATTATTTGCTCAAGTTATTATTAATCGGAGACTCTACCGTTGAAAAATTCTAAAGGTGTAAATGAGTCGAACCACTTGCGAGCGGCTCGGTCAAAATTTGACTCGAGTCAAGCGGCTCGTTTAATAATTGAGCTCGTACCGAGCCTAAATATTATAAGCTTATAGCTCGTCGAGCCGCTCGCGAGCCTTATAATATAATATATAATAATATTAATATTAATATTAAAAATCAAATTTCTACCCTTCTAATAATCTAATAATCTAATCTTCTATCTTCCCAAACTCCCCATTATTCCCCAAACCCTAACTCCCCATTATTCCCCAAACCCTAACTCATCGCTCAGCCGATAGAAGCCGAGACATGGAGACAGTCGAGTAGTCTCCGGTTTCCGCCGACTACCGCCGAGTTCTGACACCGGAAGACTCCGCTTCTCCGCCTGCACCCTTGAAGACGACGCAGCTGTTGCCCGGTCTCCGCCTCAGCCCCTGCCGACGACGAAGATGCTGTCCGGTCTCCGCCTCTGCCCCTGCCGACGACGAAGCTGCTGCCCGTTCTCCGCCTTAGCCTCCCTTGTGAACCAAGGTAGTGTATCCTATTACCTATTTCTGCTTTGCATTTTGTATACTATGTATATGGATTGCATAATGTAGCGGCGACGGCAAGGTTGGGTTAGGCTAGCATTTTTTGCAGATTGGAAAATTCTATTTGTTTTGAGCACCGTGCAATGCCATTTTGATTTGTATTTTCTGGAGAATTCTATTTTTCTTTCAGATTTGTCATGGTTTGCAGATTGGAAAATTCTATTTTTCTTTCTTTCTTTCTTTGTTAATTTCACAGAACATCAGAAGAAATTGAATGTGTGCTGAAGATCAGAGTGTGGGATTAGAGTGATGGATGGGCAGGGGTTTTTAATTTATTTTCTTGTTTAGGGTGATGGATGCAGGATCAATTTGCCTCTCAAAAGGGATAAAGAAACACAGCTAACTAATATTAACATAAAATTACTTGTTTTTTATTATCTCTTATAACAGGTTGACAAATTATATTCAGTCAAATAAAGTATGGGTTAAAACAAAAAGTGGCATTAAGTTCCAGATGGTGGGAATAGTTTGATAAGATAAATTGTCTGCACATGCTTTAAATGTACTCCCTTAGTTCTTAAACAGAAATTGTGCTTATTATTTTTAGTATCATGGTTATGAATTACTTAGTATATTTTAGTGTATGCATGATTTGCCTAACTGTTGTGTGCACTAGTAGTGGTTCCTATACTTGGATAAATTAGTTCTTTCCCTTATTGTAGCATTTGTGGTTAAGGCTTCATGTCTGGCATGATTTTAAAAATTTATTTTGTGGCTATTACACTGATATTTCAAATAGAGAACCAATGTCCGAAATCTATTTCGTGATACAGAAGCTACAAAGTTTGTCATTGTTACAATTCCCATCGCAATGCCAACAACTCATGCTTCTGTTTTAGTTTTAAAAGCACTAGGATAGCTTGAATAAGAACTTGGTTGATCATTGCTTTGAATGGACAAAGCCAAAATGAGATGGCTCCGTTGAAATGAGATTCATGCTATCCTCTGTAACTACAAGTATTTCACAGTCCAGGTCAGGCTTGTGAACCTCCCAAAAGGTAATGGTTTCTAGCATGAAAATTTTGTAGTGCCATTTATTTGCAATGTTTTCTCATTGCATATGCATCTAATATCTATTTATATTATATAATATATAGGTGGTACAGTTATTTTGTTTGATCGTAAGAAGCTCAGAAACTTTTGAAAAGATGGTCATAATTGGAAGAAGAGAGGATGGGATAGATCCTAGTGCTTTACCATCAGTTAATAAAAATCTGAATGTTTTCCCCTTTTTCTTTTTAATTACTTAAATGCGGGTTATCATTTTTACTATATGAACAATGAAGGATATTCTAAAGTGAGCTAATATGTATAGAAATTTCTGATTATTAATTTATATTAATTGTGAGATTATATATTAGATTGTATAGGTTTTGGATGTGGTTGTGATAACATATTTGAGCAGGATATTCTTAGTTGCATACTTTTCTCACTTTTTTGTTTCTTTGTATCAATTCTATAGCATCAATGGTTCACTTTTATTCTTGTGTAGTGTATAAATACCTCCCCTGTTTGCAAAATATGCTTTTTGGGCTTTGATATGTTAAGTGAAATTGAGCAACATTTAGTCTACACACCATTTGGGATTTTTTGAATGGAGTGTAAATCTAAGTTCAAATATCCTTTCTTGTCTTTAAAACTGCTATAATTTTCTTAGGTGTGATGTTTATAATAATGTGTTTGAAAAAGCAGTTAATTTGCTGTTGTTCTGTTGTTCATGGAAGATCAACTTCAATTCTTTAATATGTGAATCTCTTTTCAGCAAATTAGCAAATATTTGACTTTCTTCTGCGCTATAACCCTACTTTTTTTTTTTTTTTGCTTTCCGAATTACTCCTAACTTATTTTGCATTTCATTGCAAATTTATTATATCTATACTAATTTATTTACTCAATTTTTACATGTAGTTCCAACAAGTTGATTATGAAAAAGCGGTTATTGATCTGGTGCGTTTAGAACGGGTCGATATTCTATCAAGTTATATAGAGTAGGTATGATTTGACTTTGTAATCATTTAGACTTGGTTCGTAGAATTATTTTTTGTAGTATTATGACTTGGATGATGATTCGATTAGAATTGGTAATGAAAGTATTTTGACTTGTTATTTTGAACCTTGCTTAGCTTCAGCAAAATTATGTAACTACACTTGGCCATAGTGAATGGATAAATTGATTTTTTTTTATATGATTAAAATTTAAGCAGGTCAAAAATGGGTTGAGTCCACGGTTTTTAACCGTTGTCTATTTTACAATAACAGCGATTACAACAGCGATTACAACAACACACAATAGACAACAGTTTATAACTCTTGTCTTTTAAAGAAAATACAACAGTTAAAAATCGTTGTCTATGTGCATCACTTTTAACGACACTGGTTTCAACAACATTGAATTGACAACGGGTCAAAAACTGTTGTCTTTGGAAGAAACGACAACGGTTTAAAACCGTTGTCTATGTTCGTGACTTTTAACAACACCGGTTTCAACAACACTTAATAGACAACGGTTAAAAAATCGTTGTCGTTTCTAGAAAAGACAACGGTTATTAACCATTGCCTATGTGCGTGACATACAAAAACACCGGCTTCAACAACACTTAATAGACAACGGTTAAAAAACCGTTGTTGTTTCTAGAAAAGACAACAGTTATTAACCGTTGTCTATGTGCGTGACTTACAACAACACCAGCTTCAACAACACTTAATAAATAACGGTTAAAAAACCGTTGTTGTTTCTAGAAAAGACAACGGTTATTAACCGTTGTCTATGTGCGTGACATACAACAACACCGGCTTCAACAACACTTAATAGACAACGGTTAAAAAACCGTTGTTGTTTCTACAAAAGACAACAATTATTAACCGTTGCCTATGTGCGTGACTTACAACAACACCGGCTTCAACAACACTTAATAGACAACGGTTAAAAAATCGTTGTTGTTTCTAGAAAAGACAACGGTTAAAAAACCGTTGTCTATGCGCGGGACTTACAACAACACCGGCTTCAACAACAGAAATTATACCACTACGACAACGGTTATTAACCGTTGTCTATGTGCATTTTTCTTGTAGTGGGGATTTAGTTTGACCCAAATCCCTTAGCCTTTTGATTATGGTCAATGGGTTGGACCTTATGTTATAACTTTGGACCCTAACTTTTATTTAAAGGAAGCCCTTCTAGCCTTTTGAGATATTAATGAAGGGGCCCACTTATAACTTTTCAGATTTTACCTTAGCATTGAAACCCTACCATAGCCAAAGACTCTCCAAACATTTCAACTTTACTACATCTCTCTATCTCTCTCTCGCCACTCTCTCCTCTCCCACACTACCCAAAAGAGATCTCCACTTCCTATACCTAGAAGACCATCAAGTTGGCACCTTTCCTCATCACTAAGTCTAGGAGGGGTAAGTAGTAGGAGTTTGAAGTCTTATTCCTTGGTTTTGTATCTTCCTTATCTAAGTTTATTCTTGTGTTGTTGGGTTTTTGGGTTCTTTGGATGAAGATCACTTGGAGGAGGATTCACAAGAGTAGGCTAGGGAGTTGAAGGAAGTTGGATAAGCTAAGGAGGTAACACATGTCCTACAAAACCTATTTCTCCTTGCTATGTATGATTTCTTGATGTTCTTGAGTGATGATATGCATATTCTTGTGTATATGCTTTTGTATAGCTTGTATCTAGGGTTCTTGATGCTATTTATTGAGCTATTTCTTGTTTTCAAGTCCCTTTCAAGTTTGCACTTCAATTTGTGCATTCTTGGGATTTTTCCCGAAGTTGAAACTTCTTCTACAGGGATGCACCAGTGGGTAGTTCAGCGAGCACTTCACCACCTGCCAAACCACCCACGGGTACAAGGCTTGAAGCAACGGGGAGTTCGACGGGCAGTTCACCACCCGCTGGTACAGGTGGGTAGTTTGGGCGGGTAGTTTGCCTCCTGCCGAACCACCCACCGGTACGTTGGTTCTTAGCTTCCGTTTTGTTGATCCATTGTGTACTTGTGTGTATTTATTGATGTCTTGTAAGTCTAGAGCGATGTATTAAGTATCCTTTGGTAGGATTTGGAGTCTTTAATCGTGTTGTAATCCAATATTGTGATTCGTTGGATTCAAATGAAGTTTATGTTATTCGTATAAGTCTTTGTGACTACCTTGTTGGCTTGCATGCTAGTTACGTTTCGTATTGGTACTAGTATGTGTTTCCTTGTGATTACCATCTTGATTCTTGATTGAATTGATACTTGAGCCTATCTATTCGTTGTAATCCTTTGATTGGAATCCTTGATATCGTTGTGTAGCCTTTGGAGTATCTTGTTCGTATCTCTTTGGTGAATTCCTTTCATTGTGATCTTTTGTTGTGAACTCGTACATTCGTTGTACTTTATCCTTGTGGATTCTTGATTAAGCTATTGTTGAGCTTACCCGTTGTTGTGCACACTTCGTGTGGAATCTACGCTTTGCTTTGCTTTGATGGACAGTGGGGGCTTTACTAAAACCGGGATTCGAGATAATGGTATTTATATGAATCGGGACTAGACCCCCACGGATTGTTACTGAATTGGGACTTCGTGTCCCCGCGGATTTGTTACTTTGTCTTCGGACCGGGTCTTCTGACCCCGCGGAAACCATAATCGGGACTTAGTGTCCCTACGGACATCTCTAATCGGGTCTACGGCCCCGCGGAATCCAAACTAGGGTCCAGTGACCCCGCGGTACACATTAGTTATAGGCCCTCATCTTGTCCACCTTGATTCGAGTCATTTGGTGACTCCGCGGTGAATGACTTGGTTTGGCTATGTCCTTTGTGGATTTAGAACCTTGTCGGAAATTGATTGATTATGGATTGTGTTGAGAACTATCTTGTGAATGTTTGTGCCTACCTTATCTATTGATTCGTTATCTCTTGATTTGTTATCTCTATTCCTTGAATTGATCTAAGTCATTGATTCGTGATTGCGAGTGGTATTGTTGAGTACTGTGCTAGTTGGTCGGAGTATTACTTCTACTCCTCATGATTTACAAAGCTAGAATTATTTAGGAATTTATGTATGTATTCCCAAGTCTCAAATGGTTTTCTCTATAAAGTATACTTATTGTATTCAACGCGTTGGAGTGGGTTTCTTAGCAATTTTCGCTAACGGTTGTTATACCTTATGTTTTCAGGTGCTTAGTTGGTCCGTGAGTGCGGTTAGTTGGAGCCGGCTTAGATCCGTTTCCCTTCTCCTTAGTTTAGTTGTTTTGCAATGCGTGCCCTTCAACTTTGACATTTTGGATATAGTTTTTGTAAAGCTTGTGCAACTAGGTTTGGAGAATCTAGTTGTGGCATAGCATTCCCAAACATGACTGTTTAGCTTCTGCGTAATTTTAATTAAATGGTTAGACATTATACTTATCTCTAAGTTTGAATGCCTTATTTTGTGATTAAGTTTTGGGGGTGTTACATTTTGTTCTTTGCTCGAAAAAGAACTCCCGGTACATTCGCAGGCGAACGTATCAATTTGGTGCTTTCATTGAGAGATAATCAAAAAAAAAAAAAAACCAAAAAAAAAAACACAGAACAACAACCCATGGCCGACTCTTCCGATACACCATTAACCATGAAGAACATTAAACAGCTGCTAAATGGAGTAATGACCACCCAAGAGGCTCAGTTGCAAAGTCAGTGGAAAGACCAATTCCAGACTTTCATGGCTTCCATGGAAGCAAAATGGCAAACTAATGAGAATTCTAAGGCGGTACAATAGCCAGAGATAGCAACCACAACACCTCCCACCAATCGGTAAGCTCTATTCTAGGCTAATCCTGGCCTAGCCATAGCTACGGATGAAGGATCATCTGAAGGAGCACCCATGGTGCAGAAACACAGTAATATGAGATTAGATATTCCAAGATTTGGAGGAGCAGATCCTCAGCAGTGGATTTTCAATATCTAAGAATATTTTGACTTCCATCAAACGCCCGAACCGCAACGCTTGCAAATTGCTGGTTTTTGCTTGGAGGGAGAAGCGTTTGAATGCTTCTGTTGGATGAAACAGAACCGCCTGATTTTTGGGTGGCATGATTTCTTGGAAAAAGTCGAACAACGATTTGGCACTACACACTTTGAGGATCCCTTGGCAGAGTTGGCTAAGCTTACGCAAATCGGGATCGTAGTTGACTTCTAAGCAGTATTTGAGAAATTGCTTAATCGGGTGACGGGAGTAAATGAGACTTATCTAGTTTCCTATGTCATAGGTGGGTTGAAATCCAACATACGCCATGAATTGCTGTTGGTCAGGCCCCAAACGATTTTGGCAGCCTTTGAGATGGCCAAAGCTCATGAAGCTCGTTATAATGAACTTATGCTAGAGTGTCGTACTGCATACAAAAACAATATAAGATACTACAAACTCGTTGAGAATTTTCATTGAACTCTTTTTCATCCGCCAGCTTCCTAACCACACTTCCTTCTCCTTTTTTGACTGAATGACATACTCTTTCACCATTTTTCACTCCTAGAACTGTAAAAGCAACATTTCCTCTATAGTTGAATTGTTCCTGTCGTGTGACTATCCTGAACTTCATGGTCTTTCCAAGCAATTCCTTAATCTCATTGGGCATACAACCCTCCTATGTCAACGGAATAAACATTAAATTAATAGTATAAAACAAATAACAGTATTAACATTGTAAATAACAAAGTGATTTCACTAACTTCAGAATATTTCACCTTCAACTCGCTAGCAGTGATCCCTAGTAGAGACGAACACACATTATCCCAAAGTAGTAGTTGACCATCTTGATCATCATCAAGGATAGCAATCACCAATCTATATTTTATTATTCCGTCAGACCACTGTTTGTCACATGACTTACAATACATTTTGTCCTCAGTTTCTTGAGGTTTCTTTCCACAACCCTTATTCCTACATGCAGTGAAGTACCAATCGTGTTCAAAATCTATAATTTCTCCGAACACCCAAAATTCTCCTACCTATAAATGGTATTTAAAACGTGTTAGCAGTTTAGCAGTTGAATATTAAAAGGAATGTATTTTAAATTTAACAGTTCAGCAGTTGACCTTCTTTTCATCATGAATATCCTTTAAAGAAGTGACTGTGATAATCTCATTCAACATAGCTTCCAACGATCCGCTTCCAATGATTCTAGAACTTGAGCTTATACTCCGTATAGGAGTAAAGAACCTAGGCAAACTACTTTTAAAAAATTGTTAAAAGATGTTATAAATTAGATATTATATGGTGTGACAAAAGTAAAATGCGTCAATACCTCTCCTTAAAAGTGAAAAACTCAGGGCATTCGTAGTTGAACAAAACCTTAGTTGTCGTATATGAACTGAAAATTCTGACCTCACCATCTAATATAAAAACGACTTTTAAATATGTATATTCAACACAAATAAATTAAAATCTACTGTTGTGTTATTACTTACCGTCAGTCACCCTTGCTCTACATAGTTATAGTATAACAATCAATGGATCTGTTAAAACAACATTATAGAACGGCAACACCGAATCCACATGCTCGTCCCACAGGGTTATGGTCAATCGACTTTCCCTGAATTAAAACAAATTGAATTCGTAATAAAGGCTATATATTTATATATACAAATATAGAAGGTCTAAGAATTTGCAAAAGTACATACCCACAATCTTCAATGACGAAATCAATCAACCTTTGTGGTTTTTTATTAACTTGAATAACTTTAGGTTCATGAATGGAAACTACACGACCAATCAAATCTGTGAAAATAAAAACTAGAATCAGAAGATTGCACGAACGAATGACTTTGAGTAATATGAAAGAGGAATTTAAATAACAATAAATATAAAACTTGTTGCAATGATCTTACCAATTAACTTGTTACCATCAACACATCCTGGAACCTTCAAAGATCCAAAATCCTTAAATTTGAACATATTTTTTAGAAAAACAGAATCATCTTGATCCGAAACTTTGATCATCGTGTCATTGTTTGCTTTCAGAATAAATTTGTGCTCGCATGTCTTAAACCTCACGTGCGGGCGATGTGTGCACAATGAAATTTGGTCATACACTTTTCCTTCGATCAAAATAGTAGCAAATTTTTTCACATATTCATTGGAAATTTGTAGATGTATGCAAATTATCTATGGAATCATCATTAATTCAAAATCATAAGTACATATGTAATAAAAGAGAAAAACTGTTGTGTAAATAATTTAGAAATTGAATACATACCTTATAGTCATGAAATAAGCATTCAAGATTTCGGTGGTTCAATGGTGTGGGTTGATATTCTGTTGAAAAAAAACAACGCATTAACCGAAGGCAAATAAATGTTTTTCGTGTTTTAAGAGAGAGTTCGGATGCAGAAAGGAGATTAGAGTCCATAACTAATTGCCGAAGTGAATACTAATACAAATAATATTTTTGAATATAAGAATAAAAATAAAATAGAAGAATAAAATCTAGGTAGATGTAGAAAATGCAGTAGTCTGTATTGGTTTTATAAGAGATTTTAACCGTGAGGTGTAGCGTATATATGTATATATTTTACCATATTTAAAAAAAAAATTATACAATTGACTCATTTATGAATTTGTTTTAAAAACTCCATGTAATATTAGCATAATATTATGTCCATAATTAATTAATTAGTCTATATTCTGCCATATTCTTCTACAATATGTATTAGCATAATTAATTATTCTATAAACTAAATATTTTTAAACAAATTGACTCATTGAGAATTATCCGGCCGTGGCACTACATACTTATAATTAGAATATTCATTATCATATTTTAAATATTTTTTATTCAATTGACTCATTAATGAATTGAATCCAAAAATTCTGTTTAATATTACCATAATAATATGTCCATAATTAAATAGTATATATTGTGCCTTATTCTTCTACATTTTGTATTACCATAATTAATTATTCCAAAAGTGTAATTATTTTTTACTCAATTGACTCATTTAAAATTATCCGGTACTACATAATTATAATTAGAATAGTTATTATCATATTTAAAATATTTTTTATTTAATTGACACATTTATGAATTGGATGAAAAAATTCCGTGTAATATTAGCATATATCAATTTCCAAAATTAATTAGTCTATATTCTACCATATTCTTCTACAATGTCTATTAGCATAATTAATTATTCAATAATCTTATTATTTTTTATTCAATTGAGTCATTTTAAATTATCCGAAATACATACTTATAATTAGAATGTATATTACCTAATTTAAAATATTTTGTATTCAATTGACTCATTTATGAATTGGGTCAAAGCATTCCATGTAATATTACTAAACTAATTAATAATTCCATAATTAATTACTATATATTCTGACATATTCTTCTACAATTTGTATTAGCATAATTAATTATTTCATAGTCTAAATATTTTTAAACCAATTGACTCATTTAAAATTAGCCGGTACTACATACTTATAATTAGAATATTCATTACCATATTGAAAACATTTTGTATTCAATTGACTCATTTACCAATTGGTTGAAAAAATTCTGCGTAATATTAGCATATATATTTCGATAATTTATTAGTCTATATTCTACCATATTCTTCTACAATGTATATTACCATAATTAATTATTCCATAGTGTAAATATTTTTTTATTCAATTGACTCATTTTAAATTATCTGAAACTATATATTATAAATAGAATATATATTACCTAATTTAAATATTTTGTATTCAAATAACTCATTTATGAATTGGGTCAAAAAATTCCGTATAATATTACTAAACTAATTAATATTTCCATAATTAATTAATTGATATTGTGCCATATTCTTCTTCAATGTCTATTATAATAATTAATTAATTATTACATAGTCTAATTATTTTTTATTAGCATAATTAATTATTCCATAGTGTATACATTTTTAAACGAATTGAATCATTTAAAATTATGCGGTACAACATACTTATAATTTGTGTATTCATTACCATATTTAAAATATTTCGTATTCAATTGACTCATTCATGAATTGGTTGAAAAAATTCGGTGTAATATTAGCATATATATATATATATATATATATATATATATATATTTCCATAATTAATTAATCTATATTGTACCATATTCTTCTACAATTTTTATTAAAATAATTAGTTATTCCATAGTCTAAATATTTTTTATTCAATTGACTCATTTAAAAGTATTGAAACTACATACTTAAAATTAGAATATATATTACCTAATTTAAAATATGTTTTATTCAATTGTCTCATTTATGAAATGTGTCAAAAAATTGCGTGTAATATTACTAACGTAATAAATAGTTTCATAATTAATTACTCTATATTCTGACATATTCTTCTACAATTTGTATTCGCATAATTATTATTCCATAATTAAAATATTTGTAAATCAATTTACTCATTTAAAGTTATCTGATACAACATACTTATAATTAGATTATTCATTACCATATTTAAAATATTTTGTATTCACTTGACTCATTTATGAATTGGTTAAAAAAATTGTCTAAATTATTTTATTAAATTATTTTAATATAAGCCGTGGAAAATTAGTGAATTAGTTATAAAGTACATAAATTAGTAAAATAAATTCATGAATTAGTTATAAGGTACATAAATTAAAATTGGTAAACCTAGAATTATATTCCTAAAATTGTATTTTTAAATTATTAAATAAACTATATAAATATAAATTAAATTTGATTAAATTGTTAAATCGTGAGAGGATGATCTTAATTCGCAGAATAAAAATATAGTGCACAATAGGAGTAAATTAAGAATATATTAAAATAAGAATAAATTAAGGATAGATGAAGTATAAATTAAAAAGTGACAAATAACAATAACGAATAACATAACAAAAGTATGATTTTAATAGATTAAATTGTTGACATATTCCGCATTATTCATCTCTAAACAGACTCGTCATTATTTGACTCATCTTCTTTGGTAGAATCCAAATTTTCAATCGGAGGTTTAGGCCCTGTCTATCCATAGAATCGTGATAGTTAGAAAATTTTAAATACGTCAATAAAATCTTACAAAAAGCAAAACAATGTAAGTAAGCAATAGACCACCTCTTCAGAGATATCATAACCTTCTCTGTCATAAACATGTGTTGGAAAATCTGTATCTTTCAATATTCACACAGAAGTTTTGTCACAAAACTTCAACATATACTTGTGATAGTAGTTTTGTTTCTATACTCATTATAAACCACCACAAATCTATTCATTCGATAAACTTTGCCTTCTTTAAATTTGTTGAGGCACTTTTGAACATACATTCAAGAAATATGAATATGTATAAAAGTCCCTTGAAATTGAAAAAAAAAAAAAAACATATGCATCAACTAAAATTTTAAAAATAAAAAATATTAAGATTAAAATTATTGTAAAAAAAATGCATCTACAGCATGTACTACACACTCCATAGAGTTTATGATTACAGAACCTCTTGTCTCTAGAAGGCGAACGACACGGGGCACTCTAAACCTGATGGTATTTCAGTGGAGTCTAGGATGAAGTTGTGTACCAACAATCTCGGTGTGAAGTTCAGTTGCCATTGAGAATTGTTGTAAATAAGAGAGTACAAAGGCAGAAATACGTTGGAAGCTTACAACATTGAATTTAGCACAATAATGGGTTTAAATAACAAATTGTTATTGTAATTTTGCATTTCCTCATTTTACGAAAATTATCAGAAATAGTTTGCTGACTTAGAATACTGATAGATTCAGTTAAGCACCTACTTAGTAATGATAGATCATGGAGCGAACATCAGAGAACAATAAACAAACACACAGAACGAACACTCACAATGTTTACCCAGTTCGATACAGTGTGTATCTACGTCTGGGGGACGATCACATAGGCGTCCAATCCACTAAGTCATAATCCAATGTACAAAGGTAGATATACAATAATCTTACCCAAGTGCCTCACACAAGGTACATACCCAGTCTACACAGGTTTAGTGGATTGTTGAAGATGGAGAGCCATGCATACAGAAGTCCAATGAAGTCCCTTCACTTGGAGAGCCAGCTCTGATGTAGTCCACTTCAGTGACGCTCTATAATGTTGTTCCCACAACAGTGTGATCTTAGTGTCCTTTCGTTTAAGCAGCAGTAACTCTTCTCAAGTTCATCATCTTAATCACCATGAACAAGTTGTATTGAGAAGGTGCATAACAATCAAAGATCTAGACTCCTCAAGCTGATATGGAGTGTTTCTTCTTCTTATTTGGCGTAACCCCAGTTACCTTTTAGAACTGGTACTTATAGATCCTTCTATAAAAACTCTCCATAAAAGATCTTTGATTGTAGAAGGTAGGACAATAAAAGAGGAATGTAATCTCAGCAGATTAGGTTCATTACCTTCTTTGAAGATACGCTGATCATCTTTCCATACTGAGCTGATAATACCGCGTAAGACTCTTAAGGAAACTGCTTCCCTAAATCAGATCTTCAGTGTCAGTTCTTCTGTCGTAGCTTCTGCTTGATCAGTAAACTGTAGACCCAACCGACAGACTCTAAACCTATCTTAGTATGCCATAATAATATTTCCAATTATAATATGGGGTTTTTGAACATAAAAACACTAACAAACTCCCCCTTTGGCTATTATTTGGCAAAACAACTCAACTATTTAAAAAGAACTAAGATAGGTTATTAAAGGAAGCAACCCAAGTGTCCAAAAAGATTATATAGGATAAAACGAACATCAGATCCAAAGTAGTCTAAAAATAGAAAACAAACGATATCAAAACAGTCACGCCCAGCCAAGGCCAGAAGGTACTCGATCACAAAAAAAAAACTCCCCCTGAGTTTACTACTCCCCCTCTTTGCCAATGGTAGCCAAAGATTAAGCATTTGAGGGAGAGCCACAGTCAGACTTCACAGGATCCTCAGCAACAGCAGCAGTATCAGACAAGCTCATGCGGAGAAGAATAGTAGC